TTTTGGAAGGATTGATTTTGGTGAGTTAGAAGGAAAGTTAATCCATCCACTTTTACATCCTTCTTACTTTCCTTCCTTACCAAATATGATGTTTTATCCATCCCTCCAATTTTTCATCCTTTCAACTTTTCATTCTTGCATTTTTCCATCGTACTAAACGGAGCATTATAGAATTGATGTAAACCATTTGATTCTAGGATTAATCTTAATTTGCACCTTGAAAGATTATTTAATTTTAATTTATATTCTTAAAGTTTAAAAATATTAATTTATATCCTTAAAAACATAAATTCGTATCAATGTGCACCTGAAATTAACTGTCATATATTTTTCCATTTAAAAAGTTTAGACTAATTATAAATTACACCCTTAAATTTTAAATATTTCATATTTATGATCTAAAAAGAATTACTTCCATTAATACTCGTTAAATAGCTATCAATTCTATCGTGTCATAATATTTTCATGTCATGTTCGAGTCAATAAAAAATATTTTTAAAAATTAAAAAATTTAAATAACCTATTTTTTGTTTACAACACTTTTTAAATAATTATTTTTTGTCTACAGTTAGACACAAATCTTTTGACTGTTAGATCAAATTATAGTTAAATAAAAATAACACAACTATAAATCAAAAATAGCTATTTAATTATTATTGTAGACAAAAAATAAGTATTTTTATAATTTTTAAAAATATTAAATAGTATTATATAATTTGTCTAAAATGTAAAACATACAACACAACGCAATTGACTCGACACGAAAATATTTTTTGTTAAAAATATTTTTTTATCGACTCGAACACAACACAAAAATGATACGACATGACACAAAATAACACGATACGACACAATTGAGGGGTATTTTACGAGTTTTAATAGATGAAATTTTTTTTTGATCATAAATGTTTAAACTTTGGAGTTGCAATTTATAATTATCCCAAACTTTGTTAACAAAAAAATGGATGGCAGTTAACCACCACCGGTATATATTTATACAAATTTATATCTTTCAAGATGTAAATTAATATTTTAAAACTTTAAGATATAAATTAAAATTCGACTGATTTGTCAGATTGCAAGTTAAAATTAATCCTTAATTCTATTGTTGCTTAAAATTGGGTACTTCACCCTCTGATCAACGTCCTTTTTGTCGGGGTTGATTGTCGCGCATGTTGTGGGGTTAACATTGACATTTACCTAAAAAAAATGAATACACAGTGGGAATGCACTTAAATTACTTACTGCATAGCACAATGGTATCAAAGTGATACCATACTAAAATTAATTGTCAATTATAGATCTTGTCTATATTTGTTTGTAGTTATTGATTGTAAAAATAATAAAATTAAATCAAATTACAAAATATAAAAATTTTTGCATGTGTCTTACTTTGATTGGTGGAAAATAGGTACAATACAAAAAAAAAAAAAAAAAATTGCCTTTTGGTGCCATTATTGGATCCTTACTGAAGATAGACATCGAGAAAAACCAAGATTGGGTTGGGACCTCGGTATATGCATTTTAAGGATGCACTTGGTATTTTTTAGGGGAACGAGAAACTTCTTTATGGTAGGGGCACATTGGTCTCACATGGCAATCACACCCTAATAATAGACATTAGTTAAATTCAAAATTACCAATAAAGATCAAACTTAAGATGATCGAGTTTGTGGTTCACCTGAATTTCAAACCACTAAGAGGTTGTTTGATAAAAGGGTACGAGGAGATTTTGAAAGATGGATTTGAGAAAAATAATTCAAAAATTTCTCAAATTCCATATTTGTATGAAATTCAATCCTGGGTTTTCAAACCCAGCTTGTAACTAATCCGAAAATTAAACCCATATTCATGGGTTTCATCAAATCTAGGGGAGAGGTAGGTTTGAGAAGATGGGTAAGAGCTTAAGAATCTAAAAGATAATTATACCCCTTAACATGGATATGAATTTGATTGATTAAAGAAAAAATAGTCATTTGCAGGAGAAATAGTTATTACTAATTATAATATATTCGTGAGTACTATATATGTATGTGTTATATATCAAATATTGATATAAACAGAATTGAATGTTGCATCTCATATTTACAAAGAAGAATTTAAATTTAAAAGAATTTAGAGAAATCAATGTAAACACTTCCCTAAAATTCATCCAAACAAATGCTCGAGTTAGTGCACTTTTGGTGCTAAAAAGTGAAAATTGTGGACCGACCAAAAATGTCAAATGCTGCAAATGGATTTTGGCTTTGAAAAGTCCATCCACAATTTACCCCGCCAAAACGCACCCTTATAATTGTGTGCTTAGTGTGACCACATTGCCAAAGTTCCAATGGTTCGTGCTTTTATATGTCAGAACTAACACTATAAGAAAATATTGATGAGTAATGATATGTATTTTAAATTTGTAATTTAAATTTGTATTTTAAATTAAAAAGAATTATTGGATCAATGGGTCTCATTTAAAAAAATTGATGGTATTAAGAAATATAGGGTTATTGGTTATTTTGTTTATTAAAGATAAAATAGTTATTTACTTTCTCTTTGTTTAGCTTATATAAAGTCTCTTTGTATTTAGATTAAAAAACTTCTTTGTATTCAATTGAATTATGTAGTATCAATAAAACTCTAACCTCCTCTTTTCTTACCTCTTGTATTTCTCTTTTATTAGATTGTTTAACATGGTATCAAAGCAAAGTTTCATGGGACAAAGCTTAATCTTAAACACAGTTTACGCGGATTCAACTTATTTTCGTTCCGTTTTTACAATCTGATTTTCTTTGTTTTTTGATTATGGCTACCAATAGAGACGATTCACTTCAGTCTGTGAGTGTGAGGTTGGATGGAAAGAATAATTCGTATTGGAGTTATGTGATGAGAAATTTTTTTAAGGATAAAAAGATGTGGGGATATGTTAGTGGAACTTCTGTGAAACCTAAGAGTACTGATGCGGGTTATGCTACTTTGATAGATGCTTGAGAAGCAGACAATGCAAAAATTATTACTTTGATTAACAATTCTGTTGAGCATTCTATAGGTACACAGTTGACAAAGTATGAGACAGCAAAGGAGATTTGGGATCATCTGCAAAGGTTATTCACTCAATCAAATTTTGCAAAGCAGTATCAATTGGAGAATGACGTAAGAGCTCTTCAGCAGAAGAATATGAGTATTCAAGAGTTTTATTCTACTATGACAGATCTTTGGGATCAATTGGCTCTTACAGAATCGGCTGAATTAAAGGCATGTGGTGTCTATATTGCTCATAGAGAGCAGCAACAGTTGATACAGTTTTTAACGGCACTTCGTAGTGATTTTGAAGTACTTCAAGGTTCAATTTTGCATCGTTCTCCACTTCCTTCTGTTGACTTAGTTGTCAGTGAGTTATTGGCCGAAGAAATACGCCTTAAGTCTTATTCTGAAAAGGGAATTCTTTCTACTTCTAATCCTTCTGTGCTAGCAGTACCTTCTAAACCATTCTCTAATAATCAGAATAAGCCTTACACAAGGACTGTCTTCGACGAGTGTAATTTCTGTAAGCAAAAAAGTTATTGGAAGACTTAATGTCCTAAGTGAAGACAACAGAATCAATCGCAGCAACAATCTCAAGCTTGGAAGCCTAGCAACCAATCACAATCTAATGCTCATAGACCACCTCAGGGTTACAAATCACCACAATCTAATACTGCAGCAGTGGCTTCATCAAGTCCTTTCACCGATTATAGTACTTTGGCTGAGTAATTTCATAAATTTCTCTCCTTACAGCCAGAAATTATGTCTACTTCTTCTTTCGTAGGTCAATTACCTCATAGTTCTTCAGGTATGTCACATTCTGTATGGGTCTTGGATTTTGGTGCTTCACATCATATGTCTCTAGATTCTTCATCTTTTGCTTCTGTATCTCCTTCATCTTCTATTCTTGTTATGATTGCTGAGTGCAAATCTTCCAAAGAAAGTGGTTTCGGAAGGCACTATACTCAGTTGGCAATCCATTCAAGGTGTATATAAGCAAATCTTCATCTTCTACTAGAACTAAAACTGCTGCAAGCTTATCTCGAGACTCCTTTATTTTATGCAAATACTCATCTGTGGATTCTGTTCCTTTCGTAATTGTTTGCAAAACAGTCTTAAGCTGTAAAATATTTGCTCAAGATAAAGAAGAAAACCTTATTTCCAAAGCTAGCCAAACTTCTCAAGAAGTTGTGTATCCTATAACATGTGTAATAGCTGACTGTGAGAGAGTAACATTTATTAGTGTCATTAGTGCTTGATCTTGGACAATCCACTGTTGATATTGTGGATTGATTTCGGTAGTAGCTGTACCATTTCCATCAGAAAGAAATTGCATTGGACATGGATTTGATCCATCAAGAAAATTGAAAAGAGAATGAGCACGTAATAGTGCAGAGATTTGAAATCTCCATGACACATAATTTGTGGAATCCAGACGAAGAGATATCAGGTAACAAATGTTTGACAGGAAGGTAGATAGGAGACTAAGATGAGACTGTGTCTATAGTAGTTGAAGATGAAGAAGAAAAGGATGAAGGAGAAGTACCTACTGAATTTGTTGTCATTGATATAGACGTTTGTCTAATTTACAGCTCTGATACCATGTTGAAATACACAGTTTTAGAAAGATGAAGAAGATGAAGACACAGAACTTTCATTACTGATTTATTTTTCATTACAACTTAATTTATACATGATGTTGTATTTATACACAATTCTTAGACTAACAAACTGTCAACTCTGTTACAGATCTTGTTGAGCTAGACAGGAGTTAGTTACAACAGTTTCACATGTGTTGATCAGCTGGATTTGGTTGAACTGCTGCAATGTGCTAAGGTTCATTGTAACTAACAGTGAGGAAGCTCAATTGATTAATAAATTTAATTACATGTAGTGTGTCTTACCTGAATTCTAAGCGGATGATCTACCTACAAGAGAAAGTATTCTTTTCTTTTTCTAAACTAAAAGCATAATTGAGGTGATCAAAATCTGACATATTAGAACAATTACTCATAATATAAAAATAATATGATTACATAGTTATTGTCTGTTGAATATTTTAAAAAATATGATATTTCCTTCTAATTCCATCTATAGATGTGTATATTTTTGGGCAGTCAATAAGGCTTCTCAATGGGAATGCAAATCCAATTTGAGCTATAAGAAACTAATCAAATCTGGAAGATCTTCACTTTTAGCATATACATGGTGGTGAGCTGAAGGAATCAAAGAGACTGCAAATGGGTTTTCTCTCACCATACTTTTTTCCATGGCAACTGAACGACTTTCTCCATTGATCTTCATTGAGTCTTCATCAAACACTTCCCAATTATCTGTAACAATAGTCTTCAGAGAGCTCTTGGAATACTTTTGTTCATCTTCCCTCAAAACAATGGCCTTTTCCTCTTGTGGGACTGAACGATTCATATCAGATTTCTCTGAAACTCCATTGATTATGTCCTCGAGTTCTCGAATATCTTCTTCTGGAATTTGCTCAATCTTGGGACATTCCGACGCGTTTATAACGCCAATATCTCTGCAGACCTCGAAATACAACGACAGCTCTTCGCCCTGCTCGGTTGCTTTCTGTAACACCTTTAGCGCCATGGCTGCTTCAACCTTCCCAGCTGAATAAATCCTCACGAGAACTCGTGCAATCCCATTGCATACTATGCTATACATGTCGAAAATTTCAATGATAACACAGTCCATGGCTTCAAGGACAAGAGTCCCAATCATTCCATGGGCTTGTGGCTTTATCTGAAACAACATATCAACCAAACCTTGCAGTTTCTGCAACCTCACAAGGTCTTGCATCAAGGTTGATTCTTCTGATCCTCGTCTCCTTCCTTTACGTTCCTGCGAATTTAAGAACAGAAAGGTAGATTTTCGATCGAGAAATGCATAATAGGCGCGAACGAAAACGTTAAGCCCCCATGTTTTCCCAGGATTAGAGTGTCCATCTTTGAAGTTTGATAAGTCAAATGGCAACCTTCCGATCATTTGAACCGCGGGCTCTTTACAGCAAAAAACGCCGTGCATTAACATCAAACCTTTGAGTGCCACCACCCAGCTGCGAGTCTTCTCGAGTCGTATCGATATCGACCATACGATAGGTTTGAGGAAAGCAGGTGACATCCGGACCCATGTGTAGATCCTCTGGGCGTTCCGGTAATCGATGGAGGAGTCGTTGTGGCTGGTGGCTCTGATGACGGCCGCCTCTATATCGGGGTTCCGGAGTGCTGTCCGCCGTGAAAGGCCGGCGATGAAGATGCTATTTTGGTCCTTCAGCGCTCCGGAGGCCCTTTGCCATAGCCTCATTTCCTGTTTTGATGGCCTTCCTGATGGGGCTTTCATTTTTTGCGATTCACAAACGGTTTTGATATTCAACGTTCAACTTGCTTTGCGTTTCTTTCTCTTGGACATTTCATCAGTCAACATTTGGACGCGTGGAAATCACTTAAAAAAGTCCCAATCACAACGCACCACTGCCGGCCTGCCCAAAATTAGGAGGATCAAATTCAAATACTTTCTAATATATATAGGATTAATTACAAATTATATCCCGAAAGATCGTTTTATTTTCAATTTATATTCTCAAAGATTAAAAATTTTAAATCGTTATATATATATATATATATATATATATATATATATATATATATATATATATATATATTCATTGTAAATTAATAAGAATCGACTCTCGTGATAAATAACTTATTATAAAAAAATATTGAGAGAAAATGTATTGAATAAATCAAAACTTATGGGTGTATCCTTTTCATTTTCATGTCAATTATAGAAAATATGTGTAGTTCTTATATGGTGGACATAGAATAGCTGACTTTGTCAAAGATCTTCTTGTCACCAAAATGAGTCTTGTTTGGATCCGAATCGTCTCAATTTTAGCTTTTGTCAATTCTCATCTTATCGGCAATCGCTAACAGTAATGTTATAGTGATTAAATTTTGAGATTAAATTTGAATCTTAAATGACTTGACAGCATATTATTTTAGAGTCTTTATTGGGGCTTAAATGACATAACACTAAATAAAGAAGCACAAGTCAACTGTCATGTCATTTAGACTTCAAATTTAATCCCAAAATTGGTCAATATAACATTACTCCATAGTTAAACTGTTTAGTCCCGTAACAAGTGGTCTTATAAATAGTAAATGTAATCTAATATAATTAAAGGCGAATGACATTTTGTTTCCTCGAGGATTCTCAGAGAGCTAATTCATACCCTGAAAGATTAAAAATTGTAAATTGCGCCCTCAGTTATTTAGAAAAGTAGCAATGTGGTTTGGTTTAATAAAATATCTTTCAATGTATAAAACGTCGTTCGCCCTAAAATGAAAAATAAATAATTAAGTTTAATTGAAATTGGCAAAATTTAAAACTGATAGGATCCAAATCCATCATTTGTTGGGTGTTTGGGCAGATTGTCAATTCTCTTTGACAACCAAATGCTGCATAAACTCGGTAAATCAAAGACGAAAACACTTAGTTGTGCTTGATTTTCGTCCACACCACACGGCTTTGACTACTCTTCATAACACTTGTATTGCTGTCCAAATCATGAGCACCTAGATTTGGACTTTGGCGGTCTTTTGGAGTTAAACTATGAAGAACTTATTTCTCATGAATACCCTAATTCCGGTGTTGATAGTCTGTCTTTGACGGACCAAGAAAGAAATTAGTTGAAATACATATAAGTTGGTCCAAACATCCCTGAAGAAAAAAATAATCAAGAACTATATCCTGAGTGAAGTGAGGTGGTTTTTAGCTAATGAAATGGCTGGAGTTCTGTTAAGGTGCAAAGACAAATTTTACGATTTCACATTGGTTTGAGTCAGTTTTGAGGGTGAATTCTACATGAGTTTTCATGACAACAAACATGCCCCCTTTTCAACTGAGACCTATCAGTCTAGGCTTTCGTCTAGATACATGGACAAACAACAGTCATCATGTACAGAAGTTTACAGATCTACAAAGAAAAGGGGCAAAGTATGTGAAGTATCAATGAAAGAGGCTCATGATAGGGTAAACTGGAATTTCCTAGAAGTAGTTCTTCTCATCTTAGGTTGTACAGAGGATTCGATTGAAATAAGGCTGATGAAAGGTATCCTACCTTTTCTTTGCGGATGATGCCTCCCCCTTTTGAAAGTTCAATGTCCAGAATGTGAATTTAGCATACATTCTAAACATGTTGAATTCTTCAAATTTTGAGGCCTTATGACCTAAATTACTGATTATCACCTACTTTCCCATAACAAAAATTTCTATATTCCAAGATTTAGTGTTGGCATGATTCTGTGAGTCACATCGATAGAAAAAGATTGTATAGGTCTAAAATTGAGTTTGGTGATTGAAGATTTGAAGCAGGCTAAAAAGCAAGTTGAAGATGAGCATGTTGAACACTTCATTAGATTTCTATCTTGGTTTACGTTGAGACCTAGAGACTTAGTGAACCAATAAGTGATTAGTTTGAAAGTTTTTATTGTTTTGGTTTCAATCGTAATTTTTAATAGCGTGGTTGTTATAGTTGACGAGTGTGGCCTAGACCAAGTTGAAATCACAGATGATAGGCCTGGCCTCCGGCCTAGATAGACCCAAATCACATGGACAGGCTAACAAGGGTCAAGCCCACCGTCTTGAGAGACTTAGTCTATTACTAGCGCATGTGAATTTTTATTTTAAGAAAGGAATCATGGAGGGTAATCGTCAAAGTGCCCATCACCAACTTCAACCACCACGCCCGTTACGCCGCATAGTTAACATTGTATCAACGATTGATAGTATTCAATGCATAACCTACTACTAATCCCTTAATGGTAATTCCTTGGGTCCCAACTTAATTCGCGATAGCATTGCTCTAAATTTTTGCACATGAATGATACAAAATAACATTCAAAATGGCATAATTTTTTTTATCTATGGGCAAATGATTCTTTATACCCCGAAAGATCTTCGCATTCTGAATTTACACACTAAAAGATTACAATTATCATATTTTACCCCCAATCAAACAAAAAGGTAGCAATGTGTTCCATTTTATGAAAATTAAGTGCCAAATTGCTATTAAAAATACTTAAAACTGAGTTATGCAAACAATTGTGCACAAAACTAGAATAAAGAGACAAATACAACAAAAAAAAAATTATCAAACAAGGTAATGAACATTAACTTTTGTACTAACTACTATTTTTTTTATCTGATTGAGGGTATAATGTGAGAATTTAATAATCTTTTAGAGTGTTAAGCATCATTTACTTGTCTAATTAATAACAAACGTTTACGATTGGAAGAATGAAATTCAATAACTATAGTTAAAAGGTGAGAAATATGGCAATTAAGAAGATTAGGTATCCACAAGCTCATAGTGATGCCTTGTTTCCATATGTTTTTTTTTTAAAGTAAATCTTTGTTTTCATATGTATGTCAGGGTATACCAGATGAATGAGGACTTGGACATGGCTCAACAAAGTAGTTTGCAACTACTTTGCCTCTTTTATTGTATGACCTAATACACCAGTGATAGACATGAAGAAACCCAACAGGTCTCCTAAAGACAAAAATGTCTTCTTTTTCTATGTTTTAACAACAATACATGGGTGAAAATTTTCAAACTAACCTAGAACACTTGTCGACCCCGATGACACGTGAATTTGACAAAAAAAAATTCGTGTGCGAATTTGACAATAGTACATGAATTCAAATTTGGAACAATCTACTGATACCAATAGTTTATAGATTTGATTAATTATAAACATAAATAGTCGAATTTGACACAATAATCAATTTATTTGATATTGTATAAAAAAATCTATTTGTTTATGATACAATTGTTTTTAAATGAGTCAGACTTGTCTATATGGTTGTTTTTAAACATTCAAGGACAGAGAGATGTTGTCTATGATCAATACATGTAAGACTCAAATATTCCATATCTATTTTGCTCATTCAAATAATGAAACATATTGTTTTGAGGGGGCCGGTATGTAAATTTTCAATATTTTAGCCAGGGACAATGTATCAAATTCAATGGAGAAATGGAGTTATCATACTATATCTAAGAGTTCTTCAATGGGCCAAGTGCCCCCACACCAGTAATTGTTGTCTTGCCTATGTCAGAGCTAATTACAAAAGTGTTGAAACTCTGTTATTGGCAACTCTTGGATCACATCACGAGGAATTTATTCCTCGCGAATATTTTGTTCTCGACGTGGATAGTCTGTTTTTGACCGGATCGAGAAGGACATTAATTGAAGTGTGCGTAAACTGACCTGAATATCCCGACCGTTAAACCAAAAAAAAAAAAAAAAAACCTGTCATTGGCATGCATCTTCCTTGTATAATCAGGGAAACAAGGTAGATGATTCAAGATGCTCAATCCAAACTTGAAATTCTTTGTCACTGAGGAGATAACTGGAATCTTGGTTGCAAATATTCTATTATAAGTTGCTCTGTTTTATGTTTTTTGTTTATGTATTTGACTATCCACAATGGTGTTTTCTGGGGCGGGGGGGGGGGGAGAAACAGTGCTAAACTAGGATCATACTACACTACTGATGAAGAAATTTTTAGTCTCGTATCAAATTTAATTTATAGTCGTAGATTTTGGTCGGATTGATTTGTCGCTATTGATTATAAAAATAAAATAATACACAATAAGAAAGTTTTACATATGTCACATTTTCGTTGAATGAAAGTTGGAAGTATAGCACCGAAAAAATTTGGTACCATTGTTGGACCTATTAGATTATAGTTTCAATCACACTTCGCCTTTTTTGGCTACTTAATTGGTCATACTATCCCCTAGAGTACTGATTTGGTTTCAAAATACTCCTAAAACAAGCCGTATGTTATGATCAAAAAATGTACATGTGTTATTAAATTTTGTAATGATACTATTGTATGTTCTGGGACTTGATGCATAGTTATAGTTACATCGACAAATAACTATATTCAATGTTATGACCTATTGCTAATCTCTTAATGGAAATGCATCAGGACTCAATTTAGGTCACAATTGCATTGCTCTAACTTTTCGTATGAATAAAACAAAATAACGGTCAAAATGATAATTTTTATCTAAGGGCAAATGACTCTTTATACCTCGATGCATTTTCAAATTCTCAGTTTACAGCATGAATTATTGAAATTTCTCATATTTAACTCTCAATCAAACAAGAGGGTAGCAATATGCTCCATTTTAAGAAAATTAAGTACCATTGTACTATTGAAAATTGAAATAATAGGGCTTCAGGATTGGCTAAATCTATTAATCGACGGAATCGTCGAAATCATGCAAATTAGATGTAACGCAGACAAAAAAAGTTTATCAGGGT